CATAATTGTACCCACATCAAAGGATCTCGAACAATGGGAGGCGGGACTTAGCTCATTTGCATAAGTAGGGAGAGGTTTGACCTGTCACACCACCTGTCACTTTTCATGCATACTAATGTGATTGAAACAGTATGTGTACTACTACTGGTGGGCACCCGCCTGGCTCATTCAGTTGTGTGGTTTGTTTAAATTTTACAGTGACGTCACTACTTCTTCAGTGGCACGTTAGAGCCCACTACTATTGCAATACTTCCCCGAGGTGCTGTTATTGTTAAATAATGTTTGTGTTCGTTCGGATGAATTTCTTTGAGCTATGACTTCTTTATCCTCTTCGTAATGCAGACTGAGCTCTGTGCACATACAAGATATCCGATTAAAGCTGAGGTTCCACAGATTATTTAGGTATATATATCATCACTAAGTGATCCGAACTCTTGACAGGGGAAGCAAACACAGACATCACAACACGTACCTTTACGGAGCTTTTACGGGAGATCGTCTCACCGTAGCTGTCAATCTGATCAAAAGACTTGTTCAATGGCATTAAAACGAGACAAAACGCGGCTGAATCGGTTAATCCATAGGTTGATAATGTTTCTGTGTAATAAATGTTTTTATTTATAATCCATAATTCCATTTTTATGTAAAAATCGGAGAGTAAAAGTTAGCTGCATGGTAGCCACCAGAGTTATCGCAGCTTCCGGTCTTGGATATGCGGCAGTCTCACACACACAAATTACCAAATAAGGAGTATGTGGGAGTTCCCCTTGATTCCATTGGCTCTGACGGTTAGAGAGAGCGTTATAAATCAGCAAAATCGACCAAGATAGGTCAAATCCACCCAAATGACTCTCTAAAAAGGTGACATTTCACTTGTTTTGTATCAATCTTGATACAGGGTACTTATTATATGTTGTAGTTTGGATTCCTAAAGCTTTTAGTCTACCATCCCATCATTCAAGGGTGGTTTTCACTATAAGTATTTACATTTTTTTACTGTGTTCAATCTGAATTTACTTTAAAATAAAAACATCTATATTGATTCTGACACTTCTACATCCAACTCACAGGTGTAACCTTGCTTTGAGAAAAAAGATTATTAATTTAACCCTTTTAGAAGAAAATATATGGTCATTTGTTCTGGGAATGTCATTTTCGAGCCTGAGACCTGAAAAACAGGCTCGGGGCTTAACAACTTAATGGAAAACAGTCTGATCTGTTGATCCAACAAAAGGGTGTACCCCAAGGATCAACTCTGGGCCCACTTCTGTTCTCCATTTACATAAATGATTTATCTTCTTGTCTCATTCATTGTTGTACTCACCTTTATGCTGATGACACTGTCATATATACATCCAAATCAGATTTCTCACAAATTCAGATCTCTCTTCAATCGGATTTTAATATCTTACAGGACTGGCTATCACACAATAAACTACTGCTTAACAAAACAAAATCTTATATCATGGTCTTTGGTACCAGGCAGAAGCTCAAATCCAAACCTAATGTAGTAATAACATGTAAGGATGGCACTTCTCTGCATAAAGTTGATAGCTTTAAATATCTTGGTGTATGGCTAGATTCTGAACTTTCATTTAAACTACATATAAAGCATGTAATACAAAAAGTCAATTACGGAATCGGTGTTTTACACCGCTCTCGCAATTGTTTTACGCTCAGTGTCCGAAAGAGAATTGCTTCTCAACTGATTCTTCCGATTATGGACTATTGTGATGTTGTCTACCAAAATGCACATAAATCAGATCTTGCTCCACTCAACATAGCCTACAATAGACTATGCAGATTTGTTCTTGGTTGTCCTTTTCGTACACATCACTGCACAATGTATAACCAATTTAAATGGCCTTCTTTAAATGTAAGAAGACACATGCATTGGCTCCAGCTGATGCATTTATCTTAACTATCCCCCTTATTTAAAGCAGTATTTTGTACCCTACTCACCAAATCATCAAGTTAGACATTCTGTCCAGATATATTTCTCTGTCCCCTCTGCAAAAAAATGGATTGGCAGAAGAGCGTTCATTTTCAAAGCCCCAACAGACTGGAATACTTTACCTGCTGCTATTAGATCTCTTGCATCATTGGGTTTATTTAAACATGCATTGTTATCTCACTTTCAACTGGTCTGTACTTGTTATTAACTGATATTGATGAAACTGATTTGCTCGACTGTCTCAAATTGTAATGATTGTGTGCATTGCTTGAATTTCACTTAACAGACTGTATGTGGTTTGTCTTGTGTGTCATGTTTTGCATTTTGTCTTTTTGTTTATGTATGTCTGTAAGTTGTTGCTATTGTTGGGACCCCCTTGAAAACGAGATGGTGCATCTCAAGGGGTTCATCCCAATGAATACAAATGTCTATATATAAAAGGGGTCCGTTTTCTGCAAATTTTGAGGGTCTCACTTGTGTTTTTGGTTTGTCATACATACATTTATTTTAGTGCAGGGAAACGATTAACATTTGTTATTCATGTCAATTAATCGCATGATTGTTCTACAAAAAATTCTATAGTGAAAAAAGTATTATGCACTTTTATTGTAATCGTACTGCTATATGAACACAAGTGCAGTAACATTTGGTTTGCAAACATTTAATAATTCAAACTGTTAATGCGCCATAAAATAATTGTCAGCGTTAATTAATTAATGCTTTAATTAAGTGAGTACTTCTACTTTTAGTCAAGTACAAGATCTGAGTGCTTCTACTTTTACTCAAGTACAAGATCTGAGTCCTTCTTCCACCTCTGCTACTTGGAAATGTTCTGATTTTCATTTTTGACGGTTTTCTCCCGATGTAACTTGAACGCACCAAAATGGCTTCTCGGTGCAAACCATAGATGTATAATAAGAACACTGCAAACACAACTTCTTCTCCAATAAAGGCTCAAATCCACAAAGTTAAAATCATATACCCGGCGGGCTGTGCGTGAAAAACATGATAGATAGTTAGACATCGTGTCTTAATTTGAAAAGCGTGCATCATAATGTAAGCATCCTTTTAAAGCACAGCTAAGATTAAAACAGCAGCATTTACAAACTGAGGCTGAACAAGAGGACTTACCGAACAGCGGAGCACCAGCCGGATCACCGGGGGTCACCGGGGGATCACCGGGGTCAGAAAGTCTCCGGTTGTTCAGTTTATTTGGACTGATATTCCGACGAGCCGCTGCAGCACCGTGAAACTCCACCTTAAAGGGCCGCCTTCAGGGACGCGTCGGAAATGTCGCTTTTACAGTCATTTCATTTAAACTGAGGAGGTAGAAGTACTCAGATCTGCTTCTAAAGTAAAAGTAGAAGTACTCAGATCTGCGTCTAAAGTAAACGTAGAAGTACTCAGATCATTAGCTGCAGTACTCCTTGTCGATTCTACTTACTACAATACATTTGAAATAGTTGATTACTACAGTACTTTGTTTATTTCATAGCAAGAGGAGAGTTAAATGCTTTCCAATAGAGTATTACATTATTATTATACATTTGTTTCTATCTTACACATTTGATTTAGGCTATATGTTTTATTTCTCTTTTTGTATTAATGTGTTTGAAAATAAATAGTTATTGTGATATCTATATGCATAATATCTAATGCATTTATTGAGTCATTACAAATGCTAAACATGAATAAACGTTTGATTTAACAGTTAATAACTGGAGGTATTATCACGTCAGCAATGATGTCTGCATGCTTTTTCACGCCGTCAGAATTTGACATGTGAAATATTGCAGTGGCTTAAAATACCTGTTTGATATGATACTGTATGTTGTCATGCCACACCTGACAGATGGTGTGCTTGCTATGTATTGATCTGTGTTTGAGCTCTTTCCAAACACTTCCAAACATTCTATATTTCTCTGGAAATAGATATTCACTTTGTAATGCAACCAGGTATCCAGTAATTTGACAGTCGATCCTACGCTGTCATCGGAGGCAGTCACAATTTCTACAGGCTCGCACTACCTGTTAGCATCTGGCATCTGTTAGCATCTAGCTCTCCTGCTTACAAACTTTTAGCCATCCCTGCTTATACAAGTACTAGTTTTAGTTGTCTGCGATCTGCCAAGGCCTACCTGTGAGTACGGCTGTACTGAGGTGTTTTTCGTCGCGAAGAGACCATTAGCTGGTCCATGCTGGTCCATGCTGGTCCAAGCTGGTCCATGCTGGTCCATGCTGGTCCAAGCTGGTCCATGCTGGTGGACCATGCTGGTCCATGCTGGTCCAAGCTGGTCCATGCTGGTCCATGCTGGTGACCAAAACACAACACCATGCTGGTCCATGCTGGTCAACACCATGCTGGTCCAAGCTGGTCCATGCTGGTCCATGCTGGTGGACCATGCTGGTCCATGCTGGTGACCAAAACACAACACCATGCTGGTCCAAGCTGGTCCATGCTGGTCCATGCTGGTGGACCATGCTGGTTCATGCTGGTCCAAGCTGGTCCATGCTGGTCCAAGCTGGTCCAAGCTGGTCCATGCTGGTCCATGCTGGTCCATGCTGGTGGACCATGCTGGTCCATGCTGGTGGACCATGCTGGTCCATGCTGGTCCATGCAGGTGGACCATGCTGGTCCATGCTGGTCCATGCTGGTCCATGCTGGTGGACCATGCTGGTCCATGCTGGTCCATGCTGGTGACCAAAACACAACACCATGCTGGTCCATGCTGGTCCATGCTGGTGACCAAAACACAACACCATGCTGGACCATGCTGGTCCATGCTGGTGACCAGCAGACCAGAATGTATCTATCACCAGCTTATGTTAGTATTACATATACAATGTATTCTGGTAACTATCAAAATAAAGACATTGTATAGTGTTCATAACAGTATTTTTATTTAATAAATTATACATTAACAATACAATAATATTACAAAAAAAACCTACGTCTAAATAAATATATCATCTATAATAGATGCATTTGATTTAGAAATAACAAATATAATTCAACATGTAAATAGCAACAAATTAATTATAAACATTTTTTTTTTTTTCTTGTTAATATCCATTATCTTCTCTGTTATGTATCTTCCGGTCTTTGCCAATCCGGCCAGCATTTCTTGGTCCTCCACGTATTTCTCGTACAGCCACTGCTTGAAGCAAACTGAAAATAAGAAACAACAAAGTTTTAACAAATCGTATTCAATTATGTGATGACAGAACTGTAAACAGAATAGTTATTACTTGTTAGAGGCTGCCTGGTGGTCTTGGTGGTGGGGCATTCCTTTCCAGTCAGGCTCCTTTCCCCTAAGGTGTCGGTGCCCCAAAACGCCACAGCCAACTCCTTCACGAACATGGAGTCCCTCGTGTTGTTTTTTATTTTTGCCCAGACCTCTGGACGCACTGGAATCTCCCCTTGCAAGTGAATGACAACAATCTGAAACATAAAATGTGTACAGTAGCCTATACATAAAAGCTAGACACCAATATGAGACTGAGGAGCAAAAATAAAAAGGCTCCACTATGGAAATAATATATACCTTCCCATGTGGCTCGCTCTTTGAAGGGGAATTATTGGGGTGTCCAGGGTGCTGGCTCACGCTGTTCAGGTATCTCAGATTGTTCTTCTACAGAATGTGAATAAGACAAAGAAAGGACAAAAACATTTAATCAATAGTATAAATTCATATGTGTATATCTTGATGGGCTGATTGTTTACACATTTCACTGCCATCTTGTCTGTTTCTTTTATTGTAGTTGCTGATGAAAGTTAAAATGCAAAATCGATCCAAGACTGTCATTATTATGTGCTTGCAATTTAAAAACAAATGTAGGCCTACTTACTTTGTGAAAATACCTGGTTTAATAGTTTATCCAAATTAATGTTTAGATTTGCTGTCCTGTAGGTGGTGACTTCCCCTTCCAGCTCAGCTTTGGAATCCTCCAATGTCTTTATAATGTAATGAAAAATAAAATGATCAACAAAACAGCCTTTTAGCCTACCACCAGTCAAATCTGTTGTTACCCTATGACTGGTAAAAACACAAATATTAAATGTACCTTCTGTATTAACCGTCTAAAGATGAGTTCCTGTTGTAATTGTGCAGCTGTATTATCTGGGAAATAGAAGAATCGGGTAAGGATTCGGTATTTTTTATTTATTTTTGTTATTGCTATTTAACTATATTTTATTACGGTGCCCTTAAAGATTTTTTGTATTGTATTATATTTATTGTTTTATATGTTATGTCTGCACCATGACATCAAGTAAAATTCCTCGTATGTGTGAACCAGAGGTTGCGCTAGACTTTTTCGCTGTCCGTCATTCTGACGGACAGTGTCGTAAAACTTCCGTCAAAATGCAGAATTACCCGTCGGCTTTTACACAACTCTGACGAGGGGGGGGGGGGGGGGGGGGGGGGGGGGGGTGGAGAAGCATGCTCGTGAACTGTCAACGGGGGGGGAGGGACAGTTCACATGCGCCGTGTTATGCATGGCTGCTGCACCTCGCGGGACTGCGGTCAACTCAGCCGTCTCTCAAATTTGCTTGGTCAAATGAGCAGTTCTTCATTTTTGAGTGCGCGATTTATAGCGCCTTACGGTAATCGCTGAGAAGCGGCACTAACGCAAGAGTAAAAAAATGCATGTTTTTTCTGCTTCATGCGATACAAATTATTTTTACCATGAGTTCTTAAAAAAACTAACACTGTTTGACTCAGTCCTAGTTTGACTGCCACCAACAATAAAAGTACTTTCACTGTCTTTTTTCTGGGTAATACTCTCAAATTCCCCTCCTGAGAACAAAATCATGCAACTTCTGCTATATTTGATGAGATCAAATGATTTTAGCGATACATCCTTAATAAAAGTGATACTGTTGGACTCAGTACTTGTTAGACTACTACCACAAGTACAATCAAGTACTTTTACTGTGTACTTTTGAGTAATCCCCTCCAGAGTACAATAATGCATGTTTTCTGCCCTCTTTGATGAGAGATAAAAGGATTTTTTCGCGGGAGCGTGCACAGCGTTAAGCCAAAACTCACAGACATTTAAATGATTTGTACGGCACAGTTAGGTTTGGAAACGGTATAATTTCCTTTTTGGAGGGCATGCATAACACAGCATAACACCGGAGCCTCGCTGCGGGGAAACTTTGGCGCTGCTCTAAGTTTGTTCTAATCTTTCAAAATGACGGACTGCTTTCAGATTTGTACGTCATTATTAAAAAAAATCCGTCATAGACGGAAAATATTCGGTTAACGCGACCTCTGATTGGCAGACAATCAATATCAAATGACTCGGATCGTTATTAGCATCAGCATTTGATCACCTTTGTCTACTTGCAGCTCAAATACAAAGATAACTCCACTCCTCTCCTACCACTGCTTACCTCTAATAAGCCTTGGTAGAACTAGTGTCCTAGTCATAGGGTCCAGGACTGACTGAAGACATGTGGAACAGAGTCCCAGACAGGCATGGTTCCATGTACAGGGAACTGGAACTTTGAACAGGTGTTTTCATCTGTTCTGCCTGAAGATTCACAAGTTCTTGATCAGGTGTTTGATGTGGGCTGGCATGATCCTTTCTGCAGCCAAACAAAGAAAACATTATTAATAATAGTAATGATGGTAACAACAATACTATTAGTAGGCCTATAACTATTTATATAGCACTTACACAATTGCAAAGTGATTCTCACTACAAAAATAAAGAACAAAACAATATTATCAATACAAAAAATAAGCATTAAAGAAGTTCAGAGACAAACATCCTCTTAAGTAAAAGACCAAATCATGTCAAGCTTTAAATCTTTCAGTCTTTACAATGCACTGTTGGAAATTACCTTCCAAAGGCTAAATTCAAACTCAAAAATAACTGGGTACCAAAGTGCTTTACCTGATAGAACACGTTCCACACGGAGCAGCAACCATCCGGGTGGGCCTTTTGCTGCATATCATCTCCTCCCTCTCCACTGTTTCCAGTAGATCTCTGCTGCCTCTTTCCAATAAAACTGAAATGCCCCAAATCATATTTAAAAAGTTAAAAACAATAAATTGCTTCTGGCATTAACATGGATTTGAATCTCACCTTTTTCCTGGATGTCAGGAAGGCCAGGAAGTGGTTCCCTTTAAGTCCACAACCAGTCTTCTCTTTCTTTCACTCTCCGAAAATCTCCCAGCATGCACCAGGAAGAAGAAGACGAAGAAGAGGAAGAAGCAGAAGATGAATTTTTCAGAACATTTTCCTTAAAAATAAGAAAAACATACCGATTTCTTTTTTAGAGCATCCATTTCTGTGGAAGTCCCTTCACAATGATCAAATCAAAAAATCTTCTTGGATCCGTGGAACTCTGATTCGTTTTGGAGGATTTGATGTTGAGTCCTGAATCTCTTGGGTTTCTGTCAAAAGGTAAGTGTAAGTGAAGCTAACGTTAATGTTTAATGTCCATGGTAATGATTTGACCTTACTTTAATTTCGGTAGTTTATATACATATATATGTATACGGCTTATGAAGTCTGCATACTCTAACCGTTAGAGTATAACGTTAGAGTCTAACGGTTGAGAATCTTCTAAGAGCTGTCATTATAGCATGAAGCGCTGTCATGTGTCTGGAAGAAATAACACTGAGTGTAAGTACTTAACATCTGCAATACGTATTACATGTACATTATGGGATATTATAAAAGTTCGTTGTTTGAGTCGTTTGTCTTCTGTCGCAAAGCAACATGTTTAACTCAGCGGCAATAGCTTGCAACTAACGCTAGCTTCCGGCTAACGTTAGCTTGCAACACGCGAGCAAGCAGCTAACGGGAGTTTGCAGCTAACGCTAGCTTGCCTCCAACGTTAGCTTGTTTAACTCAGCGGTTAAGTATTTTGCTTGCCGCTAACTAGCTAAATGGTTCTCCAACTAGCAATTGCTAGTTGGAGAACCATTACGTTAACGCTACAATTTTAGCCAAAACTCATAACAAATGTAACTAGCATATCTTAGTTGGTCATTTATTAACGCTATGGTTTGAATGCAGTATTCAGGACACCATCGCTCACCCTTTACAAATAATATTTGTCCCTTGAAGAAATCGTCCTCCCAGCGTACCCAATATACAGTGTCAATGTTACTTTGTATATATTTCTCCCTGTCAAAGTCCTTGATATAAGAGGTCGGAACGATTTATTTTACTCCGTCGTCCAAGTATTTCACGTAGGCAAACATTTTTGCTTAATTGATCGTGTGGTTGCTGTGTGGGTCAGTCCAGAGCCCTATAATATAAATTATATTATAGATCTCTGGATCAGTCGAACATCTCCTGTCTCTCAGCCAATCACAGTGAATTTAACTATACAGAGCGGGAAGCGCGTGAGCTGAGGTATACCTCAGCTCACGCGCTTCCCGCTCTGTATAGTTAAATATAATATTTAAGACAAGTAAATACCATAGACTGCATTTCTCTTACAGATTTTGTCTGTGTGCAGTAGACGTAGTATATAGATATATATATATATAATGATTGCAATCTTTTGAACTCTAACAACACAGATAAGGTTTAAAAATAAAATTATACTAATCATTTTAGAATATCCAAGTTTCTTTTTTGGCAAAAAAATTACTTTTATCTAAAAATATTTTTTCTCATTTAAAATTACAAATGTAATCTTGTAAATGTTGTGTTTTGTCTGAATATGTACCCCCCTCCCTGGCTCCATAATATAACATTTAATGACCCCCAATGCCCCCCCCCCCAGCTGTATATCTCATTATTTTCCTCTCCTGTTCTGATGGAGCTGTAGCTGTGTCTCTCACATCTGGATTAATAATATAGAACCTTCACAAAAAAATGTTTTTAAAAAGTGTGGATTATTCCAAGTACCTTTTTTAAAACCAACAATTGAGTGTCACCTTACACTGGTGCTATAGTCCGAGTTAGTAAAAACTGCTCGTTAATTTAAATTGTTCGGTTTATACTGTCAGTAGAATAATTTCAACCTATTATTGGTGAAATTGTCATTCATTAGTCAGTCTGTTAATGATACACATGTTCTTTTTTTAATTTTAGAATGCCAAAACGGAAGTACAATTGTACTTGTACGCTGAGCTAAACTGAAAAGTGGACATTTTGATGTAAGTTAATTCATGATATTTTTGTGTTAAACCTTTCAAAGTATCAATTCTGTAATTATTATTTTTCATTCTTACCTGGTGATGTCATTTTAAGATGGCATATGACTTCAAAAACAAATCAGGGTCACACGTTGCAGATGTTGAGGTGAGCGAGGATTATGCTGTTTCAATTTATGTAAGACATTATTTCGGACTGGACAAAACCACGTTTTCGTTATCCTGTGCACACCATGCAGGGCTCAACGCTAACTTTTAAAAGTGGTTGCCAGGCTGGCAACCAGGCATCAGCTTTTGGTTGCCAAAACTGAAAATACGGTTGCCATTTTTAGTCACCTTGTATTTTAAATAATTAAGATACTATACAGTTATACATCAACTTAATAATGAACATGTGACACAAAAGAATGTTCAAAGGCTTTACAATAAGTAATTAACAC